TTCCTGAGGCCCTCACTGGAAGCAGATGCCGGCACTAAGCTTCTTGTAAAGTCTGCTGAACCATGAGCTAAATAAATCTTTTCTAAATTACCCAGCCTCAGGTATTCCTTTATAGCAATGCAAAATGGACTAACACAAACTCATTTTAGCTTCCACATATGAATGAAAACATGTTTAACTTTCCGTTCTTGGCTTATTTCACTGAACATAATGTCTTCCATCCATGTTGCCAAGAATGACAGGATTTTCTTAATGGCTGAATAGTATTCCATTTTGTATATATACCACATTTGCTTTATCCATTCGTGTGTTATTGGACACTTAGATTGATTCCATATCTTGACTATTGTGAATAGTGCTGCAGTAACATGGGGATATAGATGTCTCTTTGAGATGCTGATTTCCTCTCTTTTGGATAAATGTCCAGTAGTGGGATTGCTGGATCCTATGGTTGTTGTGTTTGTAGTCTCTTGAGGAACATCCCTACTGTTCTCCATAATGGCTGCACTGGTTTACATTCCTGCCTACACTGTGTAAGAGTTCATTTTTGGGAGGCCAAGGCGGGTGGATCACGAGGTCGAGAGATCGAGACCAACCTGGTCAACATGGTGAAACCCCGTCTCTACTAAAAATACAAAAAATTAGCTGGGCATGGTGGTGCGTGCCTGTAATCCCAGCTACTCAGGAGGCTGAGGCAGGAGAATTGCCCGTACCCAGGAGGCGGAGGTTGCGGTGAGCCGAGATCGTGCCATTGCACTCCAGCCTGGGTAACAAGAGCTTAACTCCGTCTCAAAAAAAAAAAAGAGTTTATTTTTCTTCACATCCTCACAAGCCTTTTTTTCTTTTTTTGGCTTTTGATAATAGCCAAGGGATGAGATGATACCTCATTGTGATTTTGATTTGCATATACCTGATGATTAGTGATGTTGAACATTACAAAATATATTTTTGACCATTTGTATGCCTTCTTTTGAGAAATGTCTGTTCAGATCCTTTGTTCATTTTAAAATTAGATTGTTTTTCTTTAGTTGAGATGATTCAGTTTCTTGTATATTCTGGACAGTAATCCCCTGTTGGATGGATAGTTTGCAAATATTTTTTCCCATTCTGTAGGTTATCTTTTCACTCTGTTGATTGTTTCTTTCTTTTATTTTTTCGAGACGAAGTCTCACTCTGTTTTTCAGGCTGGAGGGCAGTGTCATGATCACAGATCACTGCAGCCTCTATTTCCCCAGACTCAGGTGATCCTCCCACCTTAGCCTCCTGAGTAGCTGGGACTACAGTCATACACCACCATGCCTGGCTAATTTTTGTATTTTGTGTAGAGATGGGGTTTCATCATATTTCCCAGACTGGTCTCAAGCTCCTGGGCTCAAGTGATCCTCCTCACTTAGTCTCTCAAAGTTCTGGGATTACAGGTGTGAAGCATTGGGCCTGGCCTTGTTGACTGTTTCCTTTGCTGTGCAGAAGATTTTTAATTTGATAAAAATCTCACTTATTTAGTTTTGCTAATATTGTCTGTGCTTTAAAAATCTTATTCATGAAATATTTTCCCAGACTCATGTCCTCAGTTTTCTTATTGTGGTTTTACCATTTTTGGTCTTACCTTTAGGTCTTTGATCCATTTAGAGTTGAATTTTATATGAGGTGAGAGGCAGTGGTCTAGTTTCATCCTTCTCCCTAAGGATATCCAGTTTTCCCAGCACCATTTATTGAAGAGACCTTCTTTTCCCCAATTGGTGTTCTTGGGACCTTTATCAAAAATCAGTTGGCAGTATACACATGTGGATTAATTTCTGGATTCTCAATACTATTTCATTGGTCTGTGTATCTAATTTTATGCCAGTACCATGTTGTTTTGGTTACTATAACTTTGTAACATATTTTGAGGTCTGGTAGTGATACCTCCAGTATTGCTCTTTTTGCTCATGATTACTTTGGTTATTTAGGGTCTTCTGTGGTTCCATACAAATTTTGGGATTTTTTTTTCTATTTCTGTGAGAAATGTCATTGGTTTTTTGATAGCGATTGCAGTCTTATTTTAACAATATTAATTCTTACAATCCATCAGCATGGCTGTCTTTCCATTTGTTTGCATCCTCTTCAATTTCTTTCATCAGTGTTTCGTAGTTTTCCTTGTAGAGATCTTTCACCTCTTTGGTTAAATTTATTCCTATTTTAATATTTTTGTAGTTACTGTGATCTTACTTTCTTTTTCAGCTAGTTTATTGTTCATGTATAGAAATGCCACTGGTTTTTGTATATTAATTTTGTATCCTTCAACTTCACTGAATTCATTTATTAGTTCTAAGAGTCGTTTTGCTAGAGTCTTTAGTTTTTTCTAGATAAAAGAGCATGTCATCTGCAAATGGGGACAGTTTGACTTTCCCCATTACAATTTGAATGTCTTTTATTTCTCTCTCTTGTCTAATTGCCCTGGATAGGATTTCCAGGTATATGTTCAATAAGAGTGGAGACAGTTGGGCATCCTTGTGCTGGTCCATTTCTTAGAGGAAAAGCTTTCAACATTTCCTCATTTGTAAGATCCTCGCTGTGTGTTTGTCATACATGTCCTTTATTACATTGAGGTGCTTTCTTTCTATACCTAATTTGTTGAGAATTTTTTTTATTATGAAGGGATGTTGAATTTTATCGAAAGCTTTTTCTGCATCTATTGAGATGATCATATAATTTTTGCCCTTCATTCTATTGATGAGATGTGTGATGTTTATTGATTTGCATATTTTGAACCAACTTTGCATTCCTGGGATAAATCCCACTTGATCATGGTGTATTATCTTTTTGATGTGTTTTTCTTACCTTTTATTTTATTTTTTTCTTCCGGAATGTTCACAATATGAATATTTATTTGCTTAATGGTACCCTATAAATCTTGTAGGCTTTCTTCGTTCGTTTTAAGTTCTTTTTTGTCTTCCTGTGTTATTTCAGAAGACCTGTCTTTGAGCTAAGAAATTAAGTGTTTTGCTTTGTCTGGTATATGTTGAAACTTTAATTGTACCTTTTATTTCATTCATTGAATTCGTTAGTTGTAGGATTTGTTTGGTTATTTTTTGTGGTGTATATCTCTTTGTTGAATTTCTCATTTTAGATCATGAATGTTTTCTTGACATTATTGAATTATTGATTTGAATTCTCTTGTATTTCACTGAGGTTTTTCTTTTTTTAAGATTTTTATTTTGAATTCTTTTTATGACATTTCACTTATTTCCTTATGATTGGGAAATATTACTGGAGAGTCATTGTTTTCCTCTGGAGGTGACATGTTTCCTTGCTTTTTTATGGCTAATGTGTCCCTATGTTGATATCTATGCATCTAGTGGAAAAGGGACCGCTTCCAATTTTATGAAGTAGGTTTTGTAGGGAAAGACTTATTCATATGGAGTATGTATTAATCTGTTTTTGCATTGCTATAAATAAATACCTGAGACTGGGTAATTTATAAAGAAAAGAGGTTTAGTTGGATCACATTTCTGTAGGCTGTGCAGGAAGCATAGTGGCTTCTGCTTCTGGGGAGGCCTCTGGCGCTTTCTATCATGGTGGAAGGGAAAGTGGGAGCAGGCACACCTCATGGTGGGAGAAGGAGTGAAGAGAAAGAGAGAGTGGGTCAAGGGGCCATGCAGTTTTAGACAACCAGATCTCTTGAGAACTCACTATGCAGTACCAAGGGGGAATGGTGTAAAACAATTCATGAGCACTACATCCCCATGATCCAGTCACCTCTGTATTAGTCCATTTTCATGCTGCTGATAAAGATATGAAGACAGGGCAATTTACAAAAGAAAGAAGATTAATGACTTACAGTTCCACATTGCTGAGGAGGCCTCACAATCACGGCAGAAGGCAAGGAGGAGCAAGTCACATCCCACCTGGATGGCGGCAGGCAAAGAGAAAGATTGGGCAGGGAAACTTTTTCTTGTAATACCATCAGATCTCTTGAGACGTATTCGATATCATGAGAACAGCATGGGAAAGACCTGCCTCCATGATTCAGTTACCTCCCACTGGGTTCCTCCTACAACACATTGGAATTCAAAAAGCTCAGGGCCCTCTCCAAACTGGACTCAGGGCTTGCAAGAACTGCGAGATTCTCCTTTTTTAAGGACTGCAGGGGTTTGCTGTGTAAGTAGGCATTGATGAGGTCCTTCTGTTTATCTTTTCCATGCAATGAGATGTCCCGCCTGACTCCAGGCAGATTCAATCTGTGCAGGGGATACAGGGCTGCAGAGGCTGAGTGCCTGCATGCTGCCTCTCTGGACTGCCAATCCCCACAGGTGCATCTTCACTCCCCCACTGTACTTCAGCACCCTTCTTCAACACTCCAGTCAACTCTTGGCTGTTGATGCATTGCCTTGGTCCTTTTGGTGGGTGGTGGGGGCAGGCAGAATGCCAGTCATCTCTAATCAACCATTTTGCTGACATCACTCTTCCAAATGATCTGGAGTTTATTTTTATCCAAAAATGTACTATAAGGATTCTATATTTACACTGTGCTAGGAGACTAAAGGTCATTAAAATATAATAGAACCCCTACTTTACAACAGAAGTGGATATATGATCATCTATAGCATGGTAGAATTTGAATGTCACCTCTATGGCTTTAATAACTGTGACTGGCTCTTTCTGGATGTGCAATTTCTGAGCAAATGTTGAAATCAAAACTTGGACACTGAGTTTTTAAAAAGCTAATTATATAGAACTCACCAATATTATAGTTTTTTCCCCAAAATTCTCACTGTGCTTTTAAAATAATTAATATTAACTATCCCTCTGTATGAGGATCATAATTGTGACCATCATATCATGTCAACAATGACCTTTGAGAGTTAGAAGAGTAAAAGATAGGTGAGCCATCTTGTTCATGCAGAGTAGATTCTTAGAAGTAACAACTAAGAGATGAAATTGCTGGCCTAGAAACTAGTAACCTTCTCACTGGGTTTCATGGTTCTTTTTTCCTCTCTCTCATCATTTTGGGTTTCCAGCTGAGATGTTAAAACAAAGATTAGAAGACCTGGAACAAGAGAAAATCAGCGTGTACTTTCAGCTTCCTTCAAGGCAGCCAGCTCTTAGCAGCTTCCTGGGTCACCTGGCAGCACAAGTCCAGGCTGCCTTGCGCCGTGGGGCCACTGAGCAGTGAGTACTTGTCATTGTCACCATTTCCCCCTCATGTTTCTTCCTACCTTTCAGCTCCCACATAGGGAAGAGCTGGGAGGAGCTTAGCTGTAGAGACCCTCGGCTGCTTTCCTGGGAAGGGCCCTTTGTTGGTTGGGAAGGTGAGGGTCCGTCCAGAGTCAGGGAATGACGCATGGGGTTCATGCTTCTCTAGAAACAAGACTTTTCTGCTACTTGGCAGAGAGAGCTCCTCCACAAGTGCAGCTGCATCTCAGGTCTGAGTCATTCCTTGGGAAGTTACCCTTCTAAGAAGGTGGGGTCATTGCCTCTTGTTGAGGCAGCTTGGTGTCCTGTGATCCTATTAAGGCTGTAAGATCCATATATGGTCCCCTCTGACCAAGCAATGAAAACCCAACCTCCTCCTAACTGTACTTCCAGCTCCTGAGCCACATTCACCCAAGGCTCTTCTGGGATCAGTAATATATAGAGAGCAATTGCTGCTTCTAATCTAGTGGCTTGTGGTCCCGGCTGCATGTTTGAATAACTTAGAGAGATTTAAAACCTACCAATGTCCACCCCCACCTCAGGCAAGCTGCGTCGGAATGTCTCAAGGTAGTAGGCAAGGGTGGCTCCCAGATATTGGCATGCTTGAAAAGGCTGAGAACCATTGCTCCATCTACCTGCCTGTTCCCTCTCTCTCCAGGTAAAGGTCTGAGAGGGAACAAGTGTTTTGTGAATGCTATGAGCCTCATCACAATTCAGGTCTGTTTCTAGGTGTCAACATGACCGCAACAATTCCACTTTATTTCCCACTTCCAACCGGCCCTGACAATCGCAAGACTGTCCGGCCTCTTCCTATTAAGTGTACATGGCATTATACATTTAGTTTATCTTGGTGCCTCCCTAAAGCCTTTCTGGACTGTGAGGCCATTATTTTCTGTTTTGCCAGTAGCATGTAGTAGAGTGAATGTCACCTGGTAGGTGCTTTTTTATAACTGTTTGCTCAGTGAACTTTTTCATGGTTCTCTTAAACAGGGAGTAAATTTTGTCTTGCCATTTCCATTCCTTTCTAATCTGACATTGAGGCATCATTGCAACATTGCCTGTTCCTCTTTCTTTTAAGCAGGAGGCCCCTCCCAAATTGACTTTCTATGTAATTCTCTCATTCTTTTATCTTCAGGATTATTTCTTGTCCTCTACTTCAGTCTTGGGAGATCTTTAGCATATAGAAATGGGGCAAAAAAATCGAGGCACAATCAATTTAGCTAATTTATTATGTTTCTATTTATCTAACAAACACTTGCAAAACAGTTACTAAGTGCTTTAGAAGTTACTCATTTAATTTATTTCCATTTTTTAAAAATGGTAAAATACGCATAACATGAAATTCACCATCTTAACCCTTGTTAAGTATCCAGTTCAGTGGTACTAAATACATTATAATGCTGTACAACCCTCACCACCATGCATCTCTAGAACTTTTTCCTCTTCCCCAACCAACACTCTCTACCCATTACGCAATAAATCCCCGTCCCTTCTCCTCTTCCAGCCCCTGACAAACACATTCTAATTTCCATTTCTCTGAATTTGACTACTCTGTGTACCTCATATAAGTGGAACCATACAATATTTGTTCTTTTGTGACTGACCTTTCTCATAGCATAGTGCCTTCCAGGTTCATTCATCTGATAGCGTGTGTCAGAATTTCCTTCATTTCAAGGCTGTATAATACTCCATTGTCTGGATAGACTACAGTTTGCTTATTCATTCATTTAAATAACTCATTTAAGCTTCATGACAATTCTAGGGGGTAGTATTATTTTGTATATTGATATCTATGTGTATAGAGATTTGTATCTACAACAATACCTGAATTTTAAGATGAGGAAACCAGGCCCAGTAGAAGCTAAGAAACTCGGGCAGACTAACCAGCAGTTGGGTACTGAGGGAGACACAAACCCAGCTGTCTGGCTTGCATCCTGTCTGTAAACCAGTGCACTGCGCTGCCTCTCTAAGTATGGGCTGGCAAAGGCTGGTGTATTATTGTCTCTTTAGCCCCACATGCAAGTTTGATGGAGAGTATATTAGTCCATTTTCACATTGTTATAAACAAATACTGGAGACTGAGTAACTTATAAATGAAAAAGCATTAATTAGCTCATGATTCTTCAGGCTACACAGGGAGCATGATGCCAGCATCTGCTCAGCTTCTGGGGAGGCCTCAGAAAACTCATAATCATGGTGTAAGGTGAAAGGAGAGCACACACATTGAATTGCCAGAGTAGGAGCAAGAGAGAAAAGAGGGAGGTGCCACATACTTTAAACAACCAGATCTCATGAGAGCTCTATCATAAGAACAGCACCAAGAGGATGGTGCTAAACCATTCAGGAAGTATCCACCCTCATGGTACAATCGTTTCCCACCAGACCCTGCCTCCAACACTGGGGATTACAATTTGACATGAGATTTGGGTGGGGACACAGATCCAAACCGTATCATTTCACCCATGGTCTCTGTAAATCTCATGTCTTTCTCACATTGCAAAATATAAGCATCCCTTCCCAATAGTCCCCCAAAGTCTTAACTCATTTCCAGCATTAATTCAGAAGTTCAAAGTCCAAAGTCTCATCTGAGACAAGGCTAGTCCCCTCTGCCTGTGAGTCTGTAAAATAAAAAAACATTTAGTTACTTCCCAGGTATAGGCATTGCGTTAATACTCCTGTTCCAAAAGAGAGAAATTGTCTGAAAGAAAAGGAGCTACAGGCCCCATGCAATCTGAAACCCAGTAGGGAAGTCACTAAATCTTAAAGCTCCAAAATAATCTCCTTTCACTCCATGTCTCACATCCAGAGCACACTGGTGCCAGGAGTGGGCTCCCATGAACTTGGGCAGCCCTGCCTCTGTGGCTTTGCAGGGTTCAGCCCCTGCAGCTGCTCTCATAGGCTGGCGTTGAGTGTCTGCAGCTTTTCCATGCTGAGGGTGCAAGCTGCCAGTGGATCTATCATTCCAGGGTCTGCAAGATTGTGGACACCTTTTCACAGCTCCACTAGGCAGTGCCCCTGTGAGGACTTGGTGTTGGGGCTCCAACCTCATATTTCCCCTCCACACTACTTTAGTAGTGGTTCTCTATGAGGGCTCCTCCCCTGCAGCAGACTTCTGCCTAGGAAACCAAGCTCATTCATCCACTGAAATCTAGGCAGATGCTCCCAAGCCTCAACTCTTGTACTCTGTGGACCCTCAGTCTTATCACCATGTGGAAATTACCAGGGCTTATGGCTTGTACCCTCAGAAGCAGTGGCCCAAGCTATATCTGGACCCCTTTGAGCCAAGGCTGGAGTTGGAAGAACAGAGCAGTGTGGAGAGCAGTGTTCTGAGACTGTGCAAAGCAGTGGGGCCCTGGGCCTGGCCCATGAAACCATTCTGTCCTCATAGCCCTCCAAGCCTGTGTTGGGAGGGGCTGCCATGAAGGTCTCTAAAATGCTTCTGATGCCTTTTCCCTATTGTCTTAGCTGTTAGCACACAGCTTCTTTTTACTTATGCCAATTTTTGCAGCCTGCTTGAATTCCTCCCCTGAAAATTGGCCTTTTTTTTCCTACCAAATGGCCAAGCTACAAATTTTCCAAACTTTTATGACTTGCTTTATATATAAGTTCCAACTGTAGCCCATGCATATAAGCACAGGTTGTTAGAAGCAGCCAGGCCACATCTTATATGCTTTGGTGCTTAGAAATTTCTACCACCAGATACCCTAAATTATTACTCTCAAGTTCAAAGTTCCACAAACAATCTAGGGCAGGGGGACGATGCAGCTAAGTTCTTTGCTAAGGCGTAACAAAAGTGACCTTTACTTCAGTTCCCAGTAAGTTCCTCATTTCAGTCTGAGACTTTGTCAGCCTGGCTTTCACTGTTCATATAACTACCAGCATTTCGGTCATAACCATTTAATCAGTTTCAAGGAATTTCCAAACTTTTCCTCATCTTCCTTCTTTTTCTGAGCCATCCATACTATTTCAACCTCTGCCCATTACCCAATTTCAAAGCCACTTCCACATTTTCAGGTATCTTAATAGCAATGCCTCACTTCTTTATACCAATTTCCTGTATTAGTCTGTCTTCACATTATTGTAAAAAAATACCCAAGACTGGGTGATTTATAAAGAAAAGAGGCTTAATAGGCTTACAGTTCTGCAGGATGCACAGGAAGCATAACCTGGCATCTGCTTGGCTTCTGGGGAGTCCTTAGATAACTTACAATTATGGCAGAAGGTGAAGGGGGAGCAGACATATCACGTGGCTGGAGCAGCAAGAGAGGGAAAAATGGGAGGTGTTATTCACTTTTAAACAACCGGATGTTTTGGGAACTCTATCATGAGAATACCACGGGATGGTGCTAAACATTCATGTAATATCCATTCTCACAATTCAATCACCTCCCCCCACCAGGCCCCAACTCCCACATCGGGGATTATAATTCATCAAGAGATTTGGGTGGGGACACAAATCCAAATCATAGCAGCGAGTGATGATTTTATCATGGTCTTGCCAGTTTATATTAGGATATGATTAAGTAAAAGCCAGTGTCATGCATTCTTAATTATGTTAGGTTACACCATAAGGGCATCTCTTGTATTTGACTGTTTCAAACCTGTCAAACTTTTTATGGGGTTCAACCTAATAAGGCCCCCAGAAAAGGATGGGTCTTTATTAAACATTTATCAAGATGATATTAGCTGTTGGCTTACTTTTATGAGCTACCATCCTCTTTTCTTTTCCTCACAGGAGTTGTCTGTATACTGTGCTTTTATGTTCCATTCACTTTTTGAGCCCACTGTGACCTGGTTTCTATCTCTATCACTCTTCGGAGCTCTATCAAAGTCAGCAAAGATGTTCTATTAGCTAAATTTAAAAGGCATTTTTTCAATGATTTTTCTGCTATTTATCACAGCAGTGTCTAGAATATTTAAATTTATTCTTAAAACTCCCGCTCCCTTTGGCTTCCATGATTTCACCCTTCCTGGTC